TGCAACCAAAGCAGAGGTCTGCTGCACTACTAAAAGTAGACCAAGATGCCTTAGCATTGCCTTGCTTTAAACCTGTATGTAAGCATGCTAAAATATGGTATTTGTAACAACGTATATGCATTTTGTAATACTGTAATATTACTAGTAGTATTTTATAACATAGCTATGCATAAATATACAAAACTGCAAATGGAATGAGGCTCGTGGTACACTTGACCAAGCTATGCACAAGAAGACATACAAATAGTAAAATTTGTGAGATAGGAGAAAAGCATGTAGAGTAGACAAGATAGATGTGTGATGAAAGCTGAATAAACCTACAGAACAAAGAGGAGATAAGTCTGATGGAACAAGAATTATCCTGCAAAATAACTAAGACATTGGCAAGGCCAGGGTATGTCTTCCTTCCCAAAACTGTGTCAGAAGCAGATGAGGTCACAGGCTTTTCTTCTGGGGAGGCAGCAAGGTGCATAAAACACTAAGCAAAAGAGATAGTAATTAATGAATATCATAAATTCTATTCCAGTATCTCTGATGAAAGGCACTTCCATGCACTGTAGCCTTCAGTGTTAAACACAGGGCATCAGCCCCATGGCACTGCACAGCCATAACTTTCCAGCTTTGAGCCCCCACAGAGTGCTCAGCAGTACCTGCACAGCCATTCAACAGCCTGGCCCCAAATTTAAGTGACCTTTATCCTGCAGTGACATTCACATACAGCAGATCCCTCAACGCACACAGACACAACCAAGCTCACTGGATTTTAGAACCAAGTCCCACTCCACAAAGTCACTTTAGAGACAGAAAGCAAGACACCGTTCACGCTTCAAAATTAAAGTGCTTCCTATTTAGCATCTCTCAGCCGAGATCTGAGAGCCCTGTTTAAACGAAGAAGGCCGCCTGTTATTAAAGCATCGTTCTGCAGAAGCCAGGCTCAGGTGAGGCGTGACAGGCACAGCACCCAGGGCACCCCTCAGAGGGCACCCCTCAGCGGGACATCCTCCTGGACCCCACCGCCTTCTCCGCGGCTTACCCCATCCCTCCGATCAGCAGCAAGCCCGATCTACCTCATCCCAGCCGGCAGCCGCCTGTCTGAGGAGAGGGAGGTGGCGGCTGGAGGCGGCTCCGACCCGCGCCAATGGCGGCGCCACGTCCCGCGGAGCTGGGCGGCTCCTTGGGCGGGCTCGCCCTGCCCGCCTCGGGCACCGGGAGGGCTGCTGAGGGGGCGGCGGGCGCTGCGCTGTGCGGGATGGGGAGAGGTTGTGTGGGGCAGGTTTGAAATGGCACCGCTGAGGGAAAAGGTCGTGGCAGCAGGCTCTGCAGCTGCGAGTAGGTATCCCACGTGAAGTCCGCAGGCTTGACGTGAGGGAAAATGATCCTTATTTCACTTTAGCTGATGATATGTAATTTAAGAGGTGTGAAGATACGCCTGTTTGCAGTAAAGATACAGAATCACAGAATCACAGAATTGCCAGGGTTGGAAGGGACCTCAAGGATCATCAAGTTCCAACCCCCCTGCCACAGGCAGGGCCACCAACCTCCACATTTAATGCTAGACTACACTGCCCAGGGCCCCATCCAATCTGGCCTTGAACACCTCCAGTGACAGGGCATCCACAACCTCTCTGGGCAGCCTGTTCCAGCACCTCACCACTCTCATAGTAAAGAACTTCCCCCTGACATCCAACCTCCATCTCCCCTCCCTCAACTTAAAACCATTTCCCCTTGTCCTGCAGTTATCTACCCTTTCAAAGAGTTGACTCCCCTCCTGTTTGTAGGCTCCCTTTAGGTACTAAAAGGCTGCAATGAGGTCACCCCGCAGCCTTCTTTTCTCCAGGCTGAACAAGCCCAGTTCCCTCAGCATGTCTTCGTAGGGGAGGTGCTCCAGCCCCCTGGTCATCTTCATGGCTCTCCTCTGAACCCTCTCTAACAGCTCCCTGTCTTTCTCGTACTGGGGGCTCCAGACCTGGACACAGGGCTCCAGATGGGGCTTCACAAGAGCAGAGTAGAGGGGGACAATCACCTCCCTGTCCCTGCTGGCAACCCCTACAAGTAGTGATAATACGAGTAGTGATAACAGAGGATTCAGTCATCTGTTTGTCCAGGGTGCTGCCGTGGGTGCTTTTCTGTTGAATCAGTGGCACAAAATACACATTCTGCCATTTGTGTTCCAACGGTGCCTCTCCCTAAGCAGCACTGGGGCAGGTTGCCCAGAGAGGTGGTGGTGCCCCGTCCCTGGGGACACTGCAGGTCAGGCTTGGTGGCTTCTGCACACCTAACAGCTGTATGTATCCCTGTGCATTGCAGGGGAGGTGCACTGGGTTACTTTTAAAAGGTCCCTTCCAACTCAAATGATTCTATGAAGCTGGAACCATCTGGAATAGAGCAAATAGAGAATGCTTTGTATGCATTATCTGCTAAGGTTCTGGATGTTAATAGGGCTTCATTTCAATTAACATGCATCTGAGTGAAGTGGAGGCATTGTTAAAGCACAAAACTCAGTTACTCCCTGTAATATTTTGCATTCAAGTGCCTCTTATCCATACATCCTGTTTATTCAGCTTAATGCAATGTTCTAAGCTGTATGAATTCAAATCCAGGCTGCACCTCTGCTCACGTAACTTAGTGCATTAATTAGAAGTGGGGGCCCTTTTGACACTCTTGGCACATGGAATGTATTTTCCTATTGTGTTTGATACCTCTTTTTTTTTCCCCCTCTCACAGCAGTCCCAAAGTGGAAAAAAAGAAGGCATTGGTGAGTCTGAGCCTTTTCAGAGCAGACAGCCGTGTGATGCCTGGCCCCTGCTGGATGGAGCCGGAACTGATGGGTCTTACACCCATCGCCCGAAACAGTTTCCTTTTAATTAAGGAGTTTTGAGCCAGGGCTTAGGGAAAAGCAGCTCCTTGCTGCTGGGATGCTCCAGGTGTCAGTAGGCTCCAGCATCATTAGGACCACCGGCTGTGATTATGGAGCTGCAAAACTGCATATGGGGTGTGTGCCGTATCTGTTAACATCTCTCTTCTCTCCTCTCACAGCTATTTGTTCTTGAAGGAGATTTAGGGGAAATCCATGGGGTTATGGATGCAAGGGCTGTCCCAGCTCAGCCCAGTCACCAGTCTGAGTGTCTGCAGTAAACAGCAAATTGAAAATACCTGAATGACATGAAAGGACCCTCAGACTGATTCCTCAGTAACGTAAGATGGTAAGAGCCTGCAACCAGTATACAGCCTGTGCCCACAGTTACTCTGCACTGGTGTAGTTGATCTGAAGACTCTGATTTTTGTGTAAGTATGGCTGTTTTTCACAGAAATTGAGCCTGAGCACTCTCAAGGTAGCACCAAGAAAATAAAAACTAGTGCTGGAATGACAGGTCCTGCCAACCCTTCTTCCCTATATAGTCACAGAGTTATAAAGCTCTCAGCACAGTGAGAAGATAAAAGCATGTTTCTGATTGCAGTGTAACAAAGTGTTATGGCATCTTTAGGAAGCAAACAACAATCCAATGGTGTGGTGCTGGCACAGGCTGTCCAAAGTGGGATGGAGCCCTGGGCAGCCTGATGAGGTGAGTAGCAACCCTGCCCATAGGAGGGGCTTGGAGCTCATTGATCTTTAAGGTCCCTTCCAACCTAAGCCATTCTATGATTGTGTGGTCAGCCCTCACTTTGTAGTCTGCAGTCAACTCCTGGCCCCAAAGTCTGTTTTTTTTTTTTTTTTTTCCAAAGAAGTCCTTTTACACAGTGAGGTTATGTGGTAAAACACTTTTCTCTCTATACCTAAGAGAGTATTTTCATAAAATCATAGAATCACAATGTTGGAAAGGACTTACAAGATCATCTAGTCTGACTGTCCTTCTATCACCATTACTACCACTAAGCTACTGAACCACGAAGTTTCAGATTACACAAGACTTACAAAGGGATATTCAGAAGACAAAGTTGAGGGAAAATGAGAGAAAGATGGTTTGGAGAGGAATAACAAAACAAGGGGATAAGAGGATAAAAGTGTCTGATCAAGTGGAAACAGGGCTGGTGGTTGTGTTTGGCTGCCCGTGCCCTGCACTGCTGAGCACAGTCCTATCTTCTATCAAACCCCATTTCTAACTATGCTCTTGAACGAGGAGCTTTCTATTCTGCATACTGCCTTTGACCTCTTTGCTCATTCTTGTCTCATGAGGAGGACAAAGCCTCTGTCAGCTTCCCAGCAGATGGCATTTCTTCACATCTTTGAACACTAAGTCTCCCAAAATCTTTAGAAAGTCCTTTTAAAATTCCTTTAAAATATAACAATAAAATGTATACTCTAAGTGTAAACTGAAAGGAAAGGAATAGTGTGGGTAAATTGGCTGTATATGGTGCTCTATTGTGAAGAATTTCTTCTCAGAGTGGTCAAGCACTGGATGGGCTGCCCAGGGCAGTGGGGGTCACCATCCTGGAGGTGTTTAATGAAAGGGAAGGTGTAGTACTTAGGGATATGGTTATGGGCAATACTGGTGGTGGATGGCTGGGCTAGATGGTCTTAGAGGTCTTCTCCAGCCTGAATAATCCCGTGATTCTAAGGAATAGATCGTCTTCGTAATAATGGTTACAAAATAGATATCTTTAAAGGTCAGGTGTGTGAGATGGCCCGATAGGTCTCCTGTTCTTTTGCTCTGAGATAAAACAAACACAAGTTTTGCTGCCACAAATGAAAGCATTAAGTCTGAGTTGTAATGCGGCGCTGCTCTCAAACGCCCAATCCAGGAGAAGACACGAAGCTTGGAGCGCTGCGTGCTGATTTCACCACACACCCGCAGCTCCAGGAGAATGAAGACCCCTCGAAGGCCGAGGACAGCCCTCGGTGGCCTGCCTGGGACAGGAGGACGGCTGCCCGCTGCCTCAATGCCTTCCACCTTCCCGAGCTGTGAGGCACGGCTATCCACCCCTGTGAGGATTTTGGCGGGCTTTCCTCCCGGCGCAGTTCTGCGAAGCGCCGCCAGGGGGCGCCATTGTTCCTCGAAGCGCACAGCGGGCCGGGAGCTCCGGTTGCCCCGGCGGCGGCGCGGCTCTGGGAGCGGGCTGGGCGCTGACGGAGCTCGGCCCAAAGCCGAGCCGTGGGGCCGGGAGCGGCGGGGCGAGGGGCAACAGCGTTGTGTGGGTGTCGCCGAGACAAGGGTGGCGGCTGGGTGCCCGGGCTGGGGGGGGCGGTGGTGGTTGTTGGTTGGTGAGGTGGATTTGGGTGTGGGTGGTGGCGGTGTGGGGGGGCAATGGGTGATCAGAGGCGTTGGGGGACAGTGTGGAGGGGCAGCTTCGAGCACAGATCTTACGAGGGGCAGCTGGAACTGGGATTGTTCAGTCTGGAGAAAAAGGAGGCTCTCTACGAGTCCCTGAAGGGAGGTTGTGGTGAGGGGGGGGTCGGCCTCTGTTCCCAGGGAACAGCGATTGGATGAGGGGGAATGGCCTCAAGTTGTGCCAGGAGATGTTCAGGTTGGTTATTAGGAAAAAATCATCACAGAAAGAGTGATAATGCGTTGGCACAGGATGCCCAGGGAGTTGGTAGAGTCACTGTCCTGCAGTGTATTAAAGCCTGCAGGCATTAAGGAACTTTGTAGATGTGGCCTTGAGGGACGTGGTTTAGTGGGCATGGTGGGGCTACGGTTTGTCTAGACGATCTTAGAGGTCTTTTTCAACCTTAATGTTTCTATGAATCTGTATGTGTATGGCAGACAGTGCAGTCTGGTTGCTGGGGGCAAGCTGGCTCAGGCCTCCATTAAGATACTTGGTGATGCAGGGGCTGGCAGGGAGTGCACACAGAACGCAGTAAGGGACTGAGAGCACAAGGAATTGTTTGCGTGGTTTGGAGATTGGAGAGGGTATAATAGTGATAACTGTTGATGGACTACTGTTAAAGCAGGAAAAAGAAAAAAAAGAAAAATCCAGGGGATGAAACACATCCCTTACAGGTATAGGCTCAGAGCTGGGGCTGTTCAGCCTGGAGAATGCTCTGGGGAGACCTGAGAACAGCCTTCCAGTATCTGAAGGGGGGCTATAAGAAGGAAGTGGGTACACTCTTTAGAAGAGTCTGTTGTAGTAGGACAAGGGGAAATAGTTTCAAACTAAAAGAGTGGAGATCTAGACTGGATATGAGGAAAGAGTTTTTTGTAATAGGGTGGTGAGGCACTGGAACAGGTTACCCAGTGAATTGATTCCCCCATCGTTGGATACAATCAAGGTCAGGCTGTATGGGGCTCTGAACAACCTTATTGAGCTGTTCATTGCAGGGAAGTTGAACCTGATGACATGTACAGGTCCCTTCCATCTCAAATGATTCTATGATAAGTCTGTATCACTGGTAGGGCTACCATATACATGGTCACTGCAGTAAGTATCTGGAAGTCACAGTGCCTGGGCTGGAATATATGGGAGTTGCTTGATTCTAAGAATAAAGTGGCAGTGTTAGTCAGTAATTAAAAATGCACTGGTAACGATAGTGGGATTCTGTTAGGAGTTCAGCCTTATGATTAACTAGTTTGAGAGGAGAAAAATAGATTTTATCCTCTGCAAATGGTTTCCTGCAGGTTTAATATGTTCTCAATCCCTCTAAATGTGTTTCTTTATCTCTTCTGTGTGTGTGTTTTCTCTTGTTTGCAAAACAGAGCAAATCTGTTATTGCAATATGCTGTTTACCTTGCTGTACAGCTTGGAGGCTTGCTTGCTGCACCCTGCACAGGAAGAAGTTCATAAATACATCATTAGATCTCACCTGAAACTTGAGTTTCAAAAAACAAGCCTTTGGAAAATACTGCTGTTTAAAATGTTGTTTCAATTTGTATCCAACCTTAAGCAGGGAAATTGATTATCCATTTAGTAGAAGAGAGATCATTTTAAACAGAGATCGATTAGAAAAAAAGAAGTTGTTAGAAACTGCTACAGTGATCTTCAGTTTCTGAGGAAAATCAGCAAACTGAACGCTTGAAGAGGAATCAATATCACTCAGTTAATTCTGCACTGGAGAGGATGGCAGGTTCTTTTTTTCTATGTAAAAATAGATCCTGTGCTTGTGGATTTGATCTGGAGTTAAGTACCTCCCTCTGTCTCATTGCCATTTTTTTCTTAATTCGCTTGGTCTCCTTTGGAACACTCGGAGTGTTCACAATTTTTAAAGCTTTCATAAAAAGTATTGTATTAAATAAATGGAAGCTTAATGTGAATTAGTATCTGTAAGGATTATACATGAGTATTAAAGAATTATAAGGCGTCAGACTCGAGCAGCTGCTCACATAGAGCAGGATTTTTTATTGGATGGATAATGTTAAGTTTTACAGCAGTCATGGTGATGCTGTCACACAGGCATGATTGTAATGAGATTTAACAACAGAACATTTTACTCACCTGTAGCAACCATTAAAACTGATCTGGAACTCTTTGGGAGTTCCAAGGTACTGCTGGCAGGAGTTAGAATTTTCCACATTTCTCTGAGTGGAATTGGCTCCGTTTGTGACTTAAGTATTCAACTGTTTCAAAGACTGTGATTGACAGCTTTAGGCAATTGACTCCATGAGTCCATGTTTTCAGAAGCAGAGCAGACAGAATCTGTACAGGTAGTTTTCCATTAGACTGGGGGGGGGGGG